TAAGCTACCAAGCACGTGGTCATTTGTTACAGGGACAATAGAGCACCTGATGAAGCTTGTAAAATTAAGTGGCTGTCACAGCAAAGGTGATCAGGCTGCTTGGGAGAAAAGCTGATTTGCTCTCTAACTCTCCTCAGCCTGTGTGAATTTGCCCATCTCTGGGTGAACCTACCTTGCATATATACACTAGGGTTTTCTCAGCCCATCCACTGCTTGCTGCTTCCTTTAGTCCACTGAGAAGCTTCACATCTGCCTAGCCCATTGTTTGCTGATATATGTGATATTCTGGGTAAACTGAGTACCACTCCTCATTTTTAAATGTAAACCAACATCACTGACAGACATATTTAGTATGGGTCTGGCCAAGGATACAGCTTACCATCCTGGATGCTGATCTCATCAAGGGTCCTTTCTGTTCAGTTCCGTTTAAGTGAAACACCACCACCACCCACATACACATGGGTCCTGCTTTAAAATGCCAGATACTATTAGCTGTATGTTTCCTGAACTTTAACAGCCCAAAATAAGCTAGGGTGCCTTAAAGACATCTGAAATGGTCCAGGATAATAGAGTGTCTAAAATAAACACATTTTTGGTTTCTAAATCCCCAAAGTCATGTAGGTCTCTGTCTCTACCACACACCTCTGGATAAATGTAGAAGTTCAGCTTCCTTCCCTCCATAATTTTCCACCTCTATAGGCTAATACAGCTTTTGATGATAATTTTTTCTTCCTCGTCCTTTCTATCCCACTTCTCTTCTGCCCATGAATTTTCCTTCTTGCCTATTATTCAGCAGACACAACAGAGTCTGAGGAACGAACAATTCTAACAGAAAAAAAATCTTCCACAAATAGGGCAGAGAAAGGGCTATGATTATGGGGCATAAACATTAGGTCCATTCCACAACTGAAAAGAATAGGAGCCATCACAGGTAAGTACAGGTGGCATCTCTCTTTTTTTTTTTTTTTTTTTTGCTAAGGCAAATGGTCCTGAATGCACTAGAATTTCCATCAGAAATGAACAGTATTTGGCCAGTAGATGGCACTCTCTTAAAACAAATTTAGTCAGCAGCATAGTACCGGGGAGATAAGGAGTCACTGCCAATGAAGACGAGTTATTAAAAAGAGATGAAAAAGAAAAAAAGGGGGGGGGCATGAAGTTCGGGCGTAGGGAGGTAGGAGTATATGGGATATGTTAAGGGAAAGGGGGAGATCATTATGATCAAAATATTTTGTATGAAATTCTTGAAGATCTTGCAGAGAGGGGATGTGGGTAAAAGACTGGTGCACTGGACTCTTGTCAGGACAAATGGAATCTAACATTTGACACTTACTGATGATGCTTCTTGTGATGAGCCATACCATCTCTTTTTACTCTTTTTCTCTGTCTTCTGCAGGCTGTTTACTGACTTGTTGCTTTTGATGATGTTTTTGCAGCCTTGAGACTATATCCTAATAAACTCCCCTTAAATCCCCCCCCATTCATAGTACCCTGTGCCTTTCTATAATAGCACTGACCAGACCCCCAGTTAATAGATTACTTGCTGTCTCTAATCACACTGTACTCCATAAGGCAGCCCATGTCTGAGCCACTACTGAATCCCATAGATGCTGCCTAGCACGCAGGTGTTGAGTGATTCTAAGAACTCCAGTCATGGCTGCTCACAATTTAAGAAGTGCTTCTGATTCCTTTCTAAAATGTTGATGGGGAATATCTATGCCACGGCTTTGCCTGTATTATTTCATCACTACAGTGGAACCTGCAAAATAAGCATTCTGAGTAGCTGTCTAGGAGCATTTTAATAACAAATGATTCCACATTGCTGCTATAGACCAGTTAGGGTTCTTATTGGTAATCTGTTCTGTGGACCTTTTAGCATGCCTCCCAATCCTCCCTCATCCTCAACCAGCACTTCTTTCCCCCAGTACACGCCCATACCATACCATCGCAATCTTCCTTCATTAATCTTCATTCATGGACTTCAGTGGTTCATGGGAACTATCTGATGCTCATTAATGGGAAAAGCTGGCTCGCACTGAGGTGTGACTGTAAAGGAGTTTAAGTCAGTGGACAGAACTATTAACATATGAATTAAGGTAGGTCCTAGGAGTACCCTCTAGCCCATATTTTTACCTGAGGTCTCCAAAGCTACCTTCCGTAAATCGACTCATGTTTAAATCAATCACTTTGATTTCAACAAAAAGCAACAGTTATCACTCTGAGGCTTGCCTTATCTTAGGACTGTGAAAAGAATGCCTTGGACAAAGGGAACAAAAGCCCCGAGTTAGAGGAAAATCAAAGCAAACATTGTTGCTGTTACTTAGTGCCTTTCTTTGTTTTCTAGAGGAGAGAGAAACTTGCTATTACATAGCACCTTCCTATGTTTTCATCCCCCTTTCAAGGTCGTACCAGGTTCTTCTGTTTAGGGACTGCTCAGGGATTCTTCTGTCTACTGTGAACAGCATAGGTTTAAATTGAACCCATTTCACGTTGTCCTCCTGGTTACTAGAATTTTATCAGTCAGAACAGATGAAAGGTGGTGGTTTCTATAGAATAGTGAGAATTCCTTCTCACCTCGGCCCCGAATGGTATGGGATATGGCACCACTCTTGTCAACCATGACATGGATATATGGATCTGGATACATGGGCAGGACCTATGAACAGGAGGGGTTGCTTATGGCTGGAACTAAAGAGGGCTTTGCCGTGGCTTCTGTCTTTTTGCCCTCCCAATGTAGGCCTCTTTTACCCGCCCCAGTAATTTTACTAAGTGGTTGTTGATATTTTGTGAGAATAAAAGGCATACAAAACCAATTTGGCATTCAAATGATATAAAACAGATTTATTGTTTTTTTTTTTTAAAGGAGGGACTTGAGAACAATTTGGTCATGGGAACCAAACCTTCCATAGCACTTTTAATTTTCAATGACTGGCAGTCATCAAAGGGAATTTGTACCTTTCAGAGTGACACACACTCATAGGTCATCTAGTCTCTAATTCTCTAGAAGGTTTCATGCTTGCTATTCATTTTCAGCTGACTACTAAAGACAACTATTTGTAAGCATATGTTTTTCCCTTTAATTTTTGTTAGTAATGTGTAGGTAGGATTCTCCTTTAACTCAGTTTCAAGATTCCTTCCAAACTATTGCTTTTCCTTTATAAAAAATAATGTAGAAATAAAGCCTTTTTCTTTAATAGGAACAAGTTTAGAGAGAGAGTGCATTCAATATGACCAAAGTTCATGTCCACAATAGCTTATACAAGACAAGACAGTTTCTATCGGGGGGGGGGGCAATTCTGACTTTATTTCTTTTCTAAAAGTTTTTATTTATTTAAAAGTTTTTTTTCATTTTTCATATCAACCACAGGTCCCCCACCCACCCCTTCTCTAGCTCCCCCCTGCCTTCTTCCCAACCTACCCCTATCTACTCTTCAGTAAGGGTAAGGCCTCCCATGAGGAGTCAACAAAGTCTGGAATATCAAGTTGAGGCAGGACCAAGCCCCTCTCCTCTGTGTAGAGGCTGAGCAAGGTATCCCTCCATAGGAAATGGGCTCCAAAAAGTCAGGTCATGCATTAGGGATAAATCCTGGTCCCACTGCCATTGGCCCCACAAGCCACAGAACTGTCACCCACATTCAGAGGGCCTTGTTTGGTCCTATGCAGGTTTCTCAGCTATCAGTCCATAGTCTGTGAGCTCCCACTAGCTTGGGTTGGCTGTCTCTTTGGTTTTCTCCATCATGATCAATGGTCAACCCCCTTTGCTATTATGATCCCTCCTCCCTCTCTTTGACTGGACTTCTGGAGCTCAGCTTAGTGCTTGGCTGTGGATCTTTACATCTGCTTCCATCAGTTACTGGATGAAGGCTCTGTGATGACAGTTAGGGTAGTCATCAATATGATTACAGGGGAAGGCCAGTGTATACACCCTCTGCACTATGACTATCAGTCTTAGCTGGGGTCATCCTTATGGATTCCTGGAAATTTCCCTAGCACCAGGTTTCTTCCTAACCCCATAGTGACCCCCTCTATCAAGATATCTCTTTCCTTGCTCTCCCTCTCTGTCCCTCTTACAACTCAACCATCCTGTTCCCTCATGTTCTCCTCCCCTCTCCCCTTCATTTCTCCCCCTCCACCCAATTTACTCAGGAGATCTTATCTATTTCCTCTTCCCAGGGGCATCCATGCATGTCTCTCTTAGGGTCCTGCTTAGACAGGGCATTCTCTATGTTCTGCAGAACTAGATACTGTCCTGCACCCTGGATCCCCCAGCTGCCAAGATACAGACCGATCCCAGTTTCTTATAAGGACTTGAGAATCACAATTACAGTTTCTCATTAGGAATTTTTCCTGGCCCTGCCTCTTCTGTGGTCACACTACCTTCCAGAGAGTAGCTAACAGAAGGACAAAGAGCCTAGATCTGTCCTTGATGAAGGTAGCTCTCAACAACCTTCCAGCTTCCACATTCGAATGTCCTGAGTCATCAGTCCTGCATTGCAGGCTGACTCTCCCCCTGCACAATCCTGCTTTCCTCATTCCCTTAGAATGCTGTCTCCAGTGAAATCTTTGCTCTGACTCAGCATCTCAGTCTGTTCCTAGGAAATTCAAAAGTTGATAAGTGAAATAGTACCAGCAACCGAATGTGTCAATCACAAAATGTAAAGAAGAAACTCCTGAGAATACATCTAGTACTAGACCATCTTTCCACAGATGGGGAAACTGAGGCAGAGAACCCAAGAGATCTTCTAAAGGCATCACATGCTAATTAGGTGAGAAGCCTTGCTGTAAAATCTACAACTGTGGCCCAGTGTGACCAACTATAGTATTATAGCATTTGATCTATTCCCCAGACAACCTTCATAACTTGAAGATGAAACCTGATGTTGAGAATTTGGAATCCCAATATCAAATGCTTTTTAGAAGTTCATCCTCTGTGGACTTCTGACTATGGGAAGCCATTTTCAATCTCTTATAGAACTTTCAGACAAACAGAGAAACCTATCTGAAGGAAGAGTAGCATCACATTTTATTAACAACAACAAAACCCAGTACCATAGAGACAAAATCTTACTTCAGTGGCAAATCATATACAAATACATAAACCCACATGTAGCACTGGGGCCAACTTTGGACATAGAACATTAGGCACAAAGTTCACAACCATCAAAAACAGTTCACAGTCCTTCAGTAAAGTTTAATTTTTTCATCATAACATGAGACCATATTTAACAGCTGTGGCCAAAGAGGTCTACTTCTTAAATCTAACTCTCATCCTAACTATGGAAAAAGGCCAATTGGCCTTCAGAACTGTGAAGGGGATTATCAACATCTTAAAATGACTTTTTTCTGTTTCAGAGAGAAGATCTATGTTATCTTTATGGTAGACAGCCTCACATATATTGTTTCTCAATTCTCATTACGTCTAAGCACATCTGTACTAGAAATCACTTTAATACACAAACTGTGGCTTAATAGGATTAATATCATTAGGATGGGTTAATTGGATTTCTCAGAGGCAGAAGAGGGTAAATTGCAAACTCAGGAGATTTTCAACACTCAATAGTTCAATGCTAATAATCTGAATACTGTTAGAACCCTTGCCAGTTCAGCTGTTTAAATCATTTCTCAGGGTGTGTCAGGACTGAGTTAATCAGTAAGTCAATACACACAAATCTAACAGATTAGTGATGAGAATTCTCACTGCAGTTTGATATGAATCCAGGCTACTCCTTATGTACTGGGGAATATCTAAGATATCACTCAAGCCTTTGAATTGCAAGATAAAACAGGGCAGAAAATCTAGATCTTTGCTCTTAGAATGGTAAAACTTGAAAGATCTTAAGTCCTTACTTCAGCATCCAGAGGTTTAAGTTTACATTTAAGATAAAGCTAGTGTCATAAACATGGATTGGCTGGCATGTGCTGGCAATAATTTAATTGTTCTTAAGTAAGAAATAAGTTTACATGTTTTTAAAAATGAAGTGCTTTGTAGTGAAACCTTCGGGACAGTTTTTTTAATTGACAGTTTTTCAAATGGGAAAGAGAAGAATAGGCACCATTCCAGGCCCACAATACTCCTAAGACTGAAAACTCAGTCTGGATATATAAAATCATTCAATTTAATGTTTGTTATAAAACCAAATAATTAAAACAAGTAATAGTATCAGATTGAGCCCTAATTTCATTTCTGTATTTGACTGTCTCAATAAATAACAATAGAGAAAATTTTACATGTCCTTTGGTACTTCAGAAAAATGGCATGCTAACATTTAACCACATTGAAGACACAGGTAGACTTAGATATCTAATTCTATGATCAGACAGCCAAGGAGCAACTGAAAAATGCTAATTTCCTTAAATAAGCACAGAATGTTACTGACAAGGGCCAATTCATGTTTAGATACAGTCCAGAAAAGAAAGTGCCTATTGTAATTTGTCTCACATGGAACCGGTCAGGGAGGACACCTAGGGAACATTTCAGCCACTATTTTACTCTGCACATCTGGGTAGCTACACATAAATCACAGTAAGTCAAGTGTTTTATTTCTGAAACCATCAACTACTTTGCATTAAAGGCAAGAAAAGCAGAACCCAGAAATTATTTCTCACAAGTACTTCACCATTTTGAAATTAAGCACTCACAGGATTTTATTCTATCAACCAACATGAATTAGTCTAGCAAACAGGATGAAACATGAGCTTACTAAAATTAGCTAGGTAATTAATTCTTTGGATTGTTATCACTTTACAAAGACTAAAATTAAACTGAAGAAGATTAAATCAAGTGCACTTAAATGGTCCAATGACACAGGCTGTAATTCATCCACATTTTCCTTTTGATGATGATGATGCTAAGGATGATCTAGCAGGAGGCCCGAGGATGAAAAAGCTCAGGGTCGAGGCAGCAGTTTAAACTTGTACAAGACAAAGCAGAGAAGAGCCACAGAGGTGGAAACACCAGTGATCTTTAGTAGACCAGGCACGGAAGGCAGGTTCCTCTCAAAGAAGGTATGGGTAATTTCAAATGCTGGAACATCCTAGATGAATGAACATAGATCATTAACAGAAATTCTTGCATATCTAGAAGAAAGCCTATCTGTAATAGTGTGCGTTTCTATCCCCAAGACAGTTGCATCAATAATAAAAGCAGAGGCTGAAAGAAGGTCAATGCAATTTTTATGTGCTATAGTTTGTCTATAGAGATGGAGTAGCCAATCTACCTTGGAGTCAGGCTCTTGAACCCATATGTCTTTCTTGGCAACTTTTCCTAGAGCATTCAAGACCTGAAAGAAAATTGATTGTGGCATTATAATGTGACATAGACTTTTTGACAGATTCAAAGTCATATTAAACATTGATGAACCCGCTGGTATGTGTCAGAGAAATGTATACATAGACTATTAGTGTACAGAAATAGAAGGAAGAATAGATAAAGAAAATTTGTTATTCACATACAATGGAACATTTTTCAGCTTTAAATAAGAATGAAATGCTGTTAGTGTGACAACATGGATGAACTTAGAGGACAACACAGCTTTAAATGAAATCTTCCAAGACTAGAAAGACAAACAGAACATATGATCTATTAGATGCAAAAGCCAAATAAGTGGATCCTATAGGAATAGAAAAAGAACAGAGGCCACCAGAAGCCAAGAAAGTCAATAGGAAGTAAGGCTACTGAGAGTGGATAATAGGTACCAAAATATAGCTCAATGGGAAGAATAAATTCTATCAATCGATAGCAATATAGGGTCACTAAAGATAATCACATTTTACATTATAGTAGCACAGACCTAGAACAAAGGATTTTGAATGTTACAAAGAAATGATACATGTTTGATATGAAAGAGATGCTAATTACCTTGATTTGATCATTGTCCATTATTCATAGGCATCAAAATATCAATGTGTACCCCACAAATATGTGCAATGTGTCAAAATAACCCAAGTATCTAGTTTCTTGTTGTCTATCCATATAAATAAAACAAAGAAACTGAAAGATCAGATGACAAAAATTCTGCCACAGGGCTGGGCTATAGCTCACTGGTATAGCCCATACCTCTCAGGCATGTTACTTTCGATTAAATTCCCAGTACTGCTTCCGAGATGCAATTACAGCTGAAAAAGAGTGCACCTTAGATTTCTCCCTTACCTCTCTAGCTGCTCGTTCTCCAGCTTGGACTGCTCCTTCCATGTAGCCACTCCACTGTGTTGCTGTCTCTGTTCCTGCAAAGTAAATCCTGCCTACTGGCTGGCGAATCACCCTTTAAGGAAATAAAGATGCCACACAGGTTAAATGGGAAGGTGCTGAGGGGAAATGAGCCAGTCACTTACTGCCTTCATCTGGTCCACCAAAGGAAGAGAAACCAATCAAGGAGAAAACACTTATGAGTCTCAGCCCAAAGTAAAAGTCTATGTTGTTTCATGAATCTGTGCACAGGGATCTAAACTATTAGGCCTGGGAGAAGAACACTCTAAGTTTACTCATCACTAAAGGTGATCATGACTATTTTCAGCCAGCCAGTCAGCCTGGGGAACAGTTCTCCTATGTAGTATCTCTTGAAACTGAGCCAGTGACCCTGAACCCTATGCCTACAAGGCAAAGAAGCAGTGTACATGAAACAAGGTGGTTCTAAGGAAAGGTAGACTCCCAGACCCTGCAGATCTCATCTCCTCCCACATCAGCTGAATACACTGAGGCCTCTTCCCTTGGAAGAATATCTGATGCTCCTCTGTTGACAAGACAGAAGTGTTGGACAGATACATCCATTGCCTTGTGAGTGGGTAGCCCTGTGCAAATAAATGTTGAAGAGAGCTCAAACGGCTCCCCAAAAGACAATGTAGATGTCTTCATCTCACAAGTGCTGCTGACATCTTTAATTCTGCCTATCACAGCTCTGTATGTTAACATCCACTTCTCTGGGGGCATCCACTGAGTTATAAGCTGGCAATTTATCTTGGGTTTACAAATTAGAAGACTGCCTATTTCTACAATTCTCAGTGAACACAGCTTGTTTGAATGTGTGCAAGCCCTGTATGAGTTAGTGCAGTGATTGGGTAGTACCTTCCATACTGGGTCATGATGCCAGGAGGGAAGTAGGCTGTGTAGCAACCCCCGGAGTACTGCTCCTCACACCAATTCTTCTCTTCATAATGGACTGGCTGAAGTTCAATGGGGAGAAAAATCACAAAAGAAAATAATAGTGGAACTATTACCTGCCAACAGTGAAGGCTCTTATGTAGTTTACATTAATAAAAGTTTATATTTAAAGCATAAAGTGGGGATGGAACACAGTGGTATGAATGTGCCAGGCCTTGAGTTTGAGTCCCAGCATAAGAAAAATAAGAAAATTAGGAAGAAAAGGAAAGGGGAGAAGTAGGAGAGGAGGGAGAGGAAAAGAAATCAGTCTGAAACTGAGTGGTAGAACACTTTCCTAGCATGCACAAGACACCAAGTTTAATTCCAAGTATTGCAAGAAAAAAAGAGTACATTGTAAAATAGACACTGCTTTTCTTTGCCTAAGGGAGTCAAGACATAGCATAATACTTGGTAGAGAGGACACTCTCATTCATGAAGATTCTAAAGATTAGCACTGAGTCTTCAGGAAACCCTACAAACAATCAGTTTTTGGAAAGGTCTCCACTTTCAAGTGTCTAAGACAATGGACTTTCCTTTCCAATCTAGCCAGGTATCACTTACAATGGCAGGCTGGGAGGGAGCAAATAGAAGACAAAGCACAATGCATTTTTCCAGAATCCTTTCCCTAAGCTATAAAAGTTCATGACAAAAATACTGCTCAAAGTAGACAATTAAGTTGAAAGTGCCCCTCTGGGAATATGAGAGAGCCTTCCATAACTTCCCTGTCACATTCCAAGTGTTTATTATTTGCACACGTTAAACAATAATCCACAGAAAAAAGTCCTCAGCTATTGCTGCACTATTCAGAAACCATTTCCTTCTCACTGCTTTCAGAAGCAGTATTAAAAGAAAAAAACCCTGGGAGTGCCAAATGAGGTATGAAGTGAGTCTCTGTGTGGAGAAATGAATGAGCATGTCTTTGATCTGGGAAAACATTAAGTCTGCTGTGTTAAATATATATCACAGTGCCTTTCGGCAACATACGATGACATACCTGGGGTTTTGTTTTACAGCAAGCACTTGACAATGACAGAAGCACAAGATCTCTGTACTTCAGAGCAATCTTACTGATCATAATGATTGTGGCTCCAAGTCTCTTACTACAATTGAATGCCTAGATGCAGTGAACACTTAAAAAGCCCAAAGTGATGCCATATCACAAGTTCCATGTACCTGACATTAGTTTTTAATGCCTTTGGATTGCTGAAATTAATTCTCTAAATTAAACACACCCATCTGAATTCTCTGCTTAAGACTTACAAGAAACCAGAACTTGCTTTAATTTACAACCTTGAACCAACAGAGCAAAGTCTGTTAGAGACTGGGGGTTCTTACATATAAAGCTTCTTGAGATCCCAGAACTTTGGCATATAGCTCACAGATTTTCCTCTTCCTATAGAGAAGAGCAAAGGTATGTTAAATAAGTCATAACTGATGGGCATAGAATAAACACATTAAGTTCTAGGGTACTTGATAGTGACTTCCTTGAAGAAAAGTTCAGTTTAATAGTCTTCTGTAACTACAAAACAATTCATCAATTAATCCCTGAAATCGGTTTATATGCCTCAGCGGATTTCTTTTTTTTTTTATTAGCAAGAAAATTATTTTACATGTCAATCCCAGGTCCATCTCCCTCCCCTCCTCCCCTGCCCCCCAACTAATGCCCATCCCATACCCTTTCTGCTCCCCAGGAAGGGTGAGGCCTTCCATAGGGGGTCTTAAAGGTCTGTCATATTCTTTGGGATAGGGCCTAGGCCAACCCCCTTGTGTCTAGGCTCAGGAAGTATCCCTCCATGTGGGATGGGCTCCTAAAGTCCATTCCTACGGTAGCATTAAGTACTCATCAACTACAAGAGGTCCCATAGATTTCCAAGGTCTCTGCACTGACACCCACATTCAGGGGGTCTGGACCCCTCTGCTCATCAGTCCTTCTCTGCATCTGGATTTCAGTTCAGTTCAAGGTTTAGCTGTGGGTGTCTCCTCAGCGGATTTCTGTATGCTGATTAACATCATATGCCTCAACACAGTAATTTGAAGAATCAACAGAATTTTCCTTTTTTTAAAAGACAAGGTCTCATTATGTATAGCCTGTAACTTGTTATGCAGATGAGGGTGGTTTCAAACTTGCTATGATCCCTTGTCTTAGCCTCCTGAACACTGACATTATAGGTGTATTCTACCATGCCTGGCTAAACATTTCTTGAAAGAAGATACAATTTAAACTCACAACCATTCCTAGTGAGTTTTTTTAAAAACCTAATTTCCTAAATTTACTCATCTTCTAAATTAATAGCTCTATCTCAAATATTGAATATGTACTATTTACATTTACTCTTTTCAGCTTTTACATAGTTTAAACATGTGGAAATGCCTCCAAAATATTTGTTAAAGGCTAATAAACAATCAGAAAATAATTTTGTATGAAAATGAGGCAAAAGATGCAATTCAAATCCATAAAACAAGCACTTAGACCAGATGAGAGAAATGATTAAAAATGTGTATGTGTGAGTGCACACAAATATGCAAGAGTCAATCTTACTAGTAATAAAGAAAACAAATATAAAAATATACAAGTGTATATTGCCAATAGCATTAGAAAACATATTTAAAACCTAAGCCCAATTTCTTTAAATAGTGTGGAACAAAATGTAAGCTTATTACTCTTGATATCATTATTTTTACACCATTGATATTAACTCTTAGAACTCCTATCATATAAGTACAGAAGGTTAAATTGGAAAAAGGAGGTGGAATTATAAATGGACTTATTATTGCTATATTGTCTCTATGCAAGGTTTTAAAGGAGACAATGTCACTCATGAATGATGTCACATAATGTAAAGTAGATATGTTAATTCTAGGACAGTTAGAAAATGCATGATTAAAAGCCCTAACGTACAGGAAGAAGTCTTAAGACTACTGTTTACTTGCTTCCTCTGTCTAGTCTAAAGTCTAGTCTCCATTCAAGGGGTGAAGCTGAAGTTCAGTGAGCTGCAGATTCCTTCTCTACCATTCAGCTAAGTCACAGGAAGGTAAACCTTTACTATTCCAAGCATTCTGACCATAGTAGGTGCTCAATATGTGTTGAGCCAAATTCTATGCTCAGTCCAGTATGGTATTCTCTTTTCTATGCCACCAAGAGATAGCAGGCTCTCATTTTATGAGAGATCATAAGCAGTTATCCAAACTTCAGAGTCAATTAAGAATATTGCCAAATCAAGTAGGAATATTGCCAATCAGTATTCCAAAAGGCTTGATGTATTTAACTTATTTTCTTGACATATAATAAAATCTTTAGTAGAGTATAGCTAAACTTAAAAATCAACCTTCATTGTAATTAACTTTTAATCAAATAAAAAACATAATAAAATATCATGTACTATATTTCATATTATTAAATGAGTCAAAGACAAGTTTGTACAAACACACCAAAGAATTACCTTTCCCATTCCTTTCCCTCATTAAAATGAAAATTTCTAAGAAGATACATGAAAGACAATGATGTTATACCAAGAAGGTTTTTATGCATATGTGACAGAGAAGGAACCCTGGGCTTCACACACACAAAACATGTGCTTTACCACTGAGCTACATTCTCCACTGAGACTGATGCACTCAGATTAGTTTGCCCTAAAAATTAATATAATACATTTTAAATTGTAGCCAAACAAGGTCACCATGCAAATCACTTTATAGTTGTATCTATCCACCAGCTTATAAATCTGTCTCCTCATCATAATCACTTGAGCAAGTGGTCAGAAATACAACTTCTCAGTCTCTATTTCAAACCTACTGGATCCTATTCTATAAGCCTCAAGAAATTAGACTTTCTAAATACCTTTTGGGAGAGTTAGACAAAGTAAGTTTTGAAAACCACTGCTATCCTTACTGACACATTCAGTAAAGGTTTTTGTTTTTCAAGAACTTTAGAGTTCTGCCAGTATGTGGAATAATAACCAAATGTCTACCTCCAGCCTGGTATTTATTATTAAAAGAAAGGAAAGGCAGGAAATCCAAAAGAAAATGTCAAGCTTGGTGTGGTGCAATGAAAAAAAATTGGATGTATTATCTGCTACTCTTAGCTTTGTCATATGTCAGGGGCTATCATTTGAATGTATGTGACCCCTCCCCCAAGAATCCCCATGTTAGGGCTGGTAGGATGGTTCAGTGGGTATACATGCTTACTATATAATCCTCAAGACTTGTGTTAAATCCCTGGAACCCATTTCAAGGTAGAAGAAAACTGATGCCAAAAAATGGTTCTCTGTTTACCACTCATGCATTATGGCTTGCATGAGGCTACACATACACACATGCATGCACATGAGTGCAAACACACACACACACACACACACACACACACACACACACACATCATGTTAAGATTTTTTTCCTTGTTACAACTTTATCACCAATGTGACAGTATTCAGAGGTGGGGGGCAGTACTCTTAAGAAAAATGGTTAAGCCATGAGGGCTCTGTATATCTTAGGTATTCTGGTTTCCTACAAATATCTCACAGGAAAACCCTACCTCTTAACCACATAAAATGAATGCAATTGTGTAAAATTAAATTAATAAATGTACATAGACATTGGCTTTATCAAGGAAAACATAACGAAGTATTTAAACAGTTGCTTTGTTGAGGTTGAGAATATTTGTAAAATATTGTGCTTCTCTTGCTGCTGTTCTACTATTGTTGGTTCAACAAACACAATGTAAAGGCAACCTTTTGCAGATATAAGTTTACCTTATTTCTTTATGTAGCTTAGCAAGTCGATCAGCTTTCCGGGCAAGTATGAAGCTGGAGGAGGAAGCCACATTTGAATGGTCAGTTATAGTCACGATAAATGTACATCACTACCTACTCAGCATTAATGAACTCTCCCAATCCTCCCCTTCTCTTAGAGCAAATGCCATCCTGTCTTCAGGCTCCCTCTGCACCTAAAATCTGCTAGGCTATAAGCTCCTAAGTAACAGGTAACCTCTTATTCAATGTTTTACTTCTAAAATTTAGTACCATATTTTATATTATAGGAAATTAGATATTGGGCATATTAAGATCACAATTGCATCAGATCATTATTCTGGCAAGACACTCAATAAAGCTGGACAATTATTAACACATACCTACCATAAATGCCATAGTACACCCCTCACTCCCTGCCCTATCGCTCTTCATAAGGTAATTGGTGCCCTTAGCTCACAGATAAACCTTTTCTCAGCAAATATACTCAGCAGCAGATACCTTCCCGGGTCAATATCCTGCCCCTCCTAAGAGGCAATTGATTTCCAATTATCAAGTTGGCCCATTCCATTGTCTAAGTTGGGGACATCAGTGAAAGATCATTCCAGCTTCCAGATTTCCATGAGCTGGCTGAGATCTTGGTTTAAACAACAGTGACATTCAACTCTCACTCTAACTGGCCCTGCCTCCTTCCCTACCACAAAGGCAATAACCAGGCAATTGAGCTGGGTCTGGCCGTACAGTCCTGCAATTACAGCTACTCGGGAGTCTGAAGCAGGAAAGTTTAAAACCAGTCTTGCTACAGAGTAATTTAGTGAGGTCCTATATTAAAATAAATTACACAAGAAAGTAGTAGACATTTACCTAGCATATACAAGGCCCTAGGTTCAGGACCCAGAGGTGTACACACAAAAAAGGGGAGAGTAGAGGCTATTGCCCTAATATAACAAGAGTAGCTGGTCAACAATGGTAATGAAAGACAAAATATTTCTTCTCAACCCTCATATTGTTGTAATAATAACAACAAAAGAGATTGCAAAAGAAAATTGAACAAGTTTATTATCCATTGCAGTGTTTGTCCTTTGGGAGACACACTGGTGAAAAGTATCCTAGAGGTGGTAAGTCTGGCTTATACTACATATATAACCAAAAACATTACATTTCAGAAACAAAGGAAAGCAGTTTTAAGTTTATGAAACATGGGAAATCATGAGAAGGCAAATATTTCAGAAGCTACAAGGTCAGCTTGCAGATTCCTCTGGCTCTGGCTTTAAGCTAATAAAGTACTGTTTCCAGTAAAGGAGAACTTATCTCCTAACATAAATGAAATGCATGGGAGTATAGAGAACTTCCTTCTACCTTTATAAATCTCAGCTCTTAATTTAGGTAAACAGAAGGCAGGCAGAGAGCTCTCTTGTATCACAATTGTTTTCAGTGATTGTTCATATTTGGAAAAATAAAGTCTGGCCTTCAATAAACATAAAGTACCAGTTAAACTGGAGGAATAAATTCTGTTCATCTATTACACAGTAGGATGACAATAATTAATATTAATTTATTGTATATTTTAAAATATCTAACCAGATTTTTAATGTTCTTACCATAAAGTAATAACCACATGAGGTAGAGGATATGCTAATAAACCTGATTTGATCATTGCACAAAGTAAATACATACTGGAACATTTTTCATCCAGATATACATCTTTTAGCAATAAAATAAAACCAATAAATATATCCTTCCTAGGAATTTCCTAAATAATCCCAGCAATACTTAGAAGGGTGCCAACACATATGTCCCTCTTACAAAGACAAAGCAACTCCAGTATAGCATAAGGCAGGAACATCTGAAGTTCTTCCACTTGTAACTGAACCATCACTGACTTTCTGAAGCTTGCATACTGATCTGCTTTTTGTTGGCCTACAGAAATGCCAAACTGAACTACCTGGATCCTGTCTTGCTCAGTGGGACTAAAAATGAAGAGAGTATGTTTCTTTTTTAAGGTTACACTCCTAGCTGCCTCGGGAATTTAGTGCTATTTCTTACATTACAGACAGAGAATTGGCTATACACCATTTTATCAGTAACCCAAGCAGAGCCTGCTTCTTAGGGTCCTTGGAACATGGGTCTGCACCTTTTCTCTTTGTAACTTTCCTAAAATGGCATGATGTGTTGTTTATTGGGCTCACCTATCTTTTCAGGAAGGAAGCCTGCATTTCCCCAAAGTAGAATCCACTGGTTTCTAAAAGCCATTTGACTGTTAGTAACATGTGTTCTTTTGTTATAGCTCAGCACAATAAAAGACTTTTGATGTATATAGGCTGTTTTAGAAGGACAAAGGTATACAATTATGAAGATGTTTCGCTCCTTAGCACTTCCTTTGTGAGGACCCACCTTCTTCCCTGGAGCACTAGTTTTCCATAGGTTGGTGGACTATCAGTGTACTTCTGAAGATAACCATTGGTGGCAAAAGATAACTATAGGCCATTCATTTGTGGCCTGGCTCATCTTATATTCATACTGATACTCTGTATACAAGTGTTTGGAAAGATCAAGTCCAGAGACAAAGTATTTGAAATATTTTACAGGGTAAAGTCTTCCTAGAATAACTGTGGACAGTCTATCTCTAGGAAACATTGATTATCATACTGTCTGTCAAGCTGCCTTTTCTACTCTAACCTCTGCATGTAAGTTTTTGTAGGAGAATAGGTAGGCAGATACAAGTTAAAAAGTGATGCTGTACTTTCCAGTATTCTTTGCCACACACAAAAACGTTGCTATAGATATGCTAATACATGAAAACACAATATAGTGTACATTTATCATTGCTTGAGCCTAATTATAAAGCAATATCCTTTGCTAGCACCTATACCAACACAAATTAAAAACTGCACCCAGCTCTAACTTACCCCATGATGGCAGGCAGTGACCCATCTGGTTTGGTGTCATCCAGAGTGATTGAAATTGGTGCTTCCTCATCTTCAATGATCATGCATCCACAATAGTCTTAACCAGGAGAAAATTAATGAAGGGATTGAAACCATGTTAGAGATACACACATATATAAAATATACATAAACCTTTTTACTATGGAGGAAGAAAAAAGTTAAAGCACTAGTCTTTGCTCCCACTCTGGACGCTTTTACTTTAAAGCACACATGACTATACAAGGACATGTATTCCTTATGTGGAAAATGGCCCATCTCTATAATTTTTCCATAAAGGTCTGACTCATGCATGGCAAAATGATAAGATGGGGAAAATGATAAAATAGCCCTGAATGTAGGAAGACATGGAGAAAGAGATGGGTTGTGCTAGAAGGAATCACTTCCATTAACACTAGAAGTTATGAAAAGGATTCTGTTGAACATGAGCAGGAACCATATCTGGAAAGCTCCTAGAGTATCCTAAAATCTGCCTCATTTAATATTCACAACACCCTGATAAGCATTTATCACAAAGCTTTATAATCATTTTATGCTTAGAGACTGATGTTAATAATCTGGTAAAGTCCAGGGATAGCTGGCTTCATAACAGCACTGTTTCCACAAGCCCCCTTGGTCTCATTCTGCTGAAGAAGAGTAAGCAGCAAGATAAATGCCAGGAGCTTGACAGTGGTGAACCCATAATTGATATTCCCATTGCATGCCCATCTTTTTCTCCCTTTGTCAACAATCACTCTTGAGGCCATTCTGTGAAATTTAGAGACAGATCTACACAATTTCTCTACAAATTTAAAAACATTTGTCTTTTTCTATTCCACATATTCTGTTCAATATCCCTAAAATGTGGTTTCTTTACTTACTAGTTTAAACACAAATAAGAGCAGCCTACCCTTTTTCTTCCAGAAGGCTTCCTTGTAATACACCATGCACTTGATGACAGACCCCATTGGAAGACGCTGAATTAACTGGTTTCTCTCAGGTGGAAGTTCTGGTTTGAAGTGGATCTTGGCCGCCAAAATTGGTGGGATGGCACTAATTACATATTTACACTGAAATGGAATATGCAAAATATCACCTGAAACATAAGCTGTAGCCTTTGCAAGGGGAATGGAGCATAATTTAAAAAAATCAAGCCACTGTAAAGCAACAAAATAGAACAAGGTAGGTGGGCTGTTAAGTTTTGTCAACTTGACACAAACTAGAGTTAGCTTGGAAAAGGGAGCCACAACTGAGGAATTTCCTCCATCAGACGGGCTTGTGGTCTTGTCTGTGGGCATTTTCTTAATTAATTATTGATATGGGACAGTGCAATCTGCTGAGAATGGTATCATCCCTGGACAGACAACCCTGAGTAGTATAAGAAAGCAAACTGAACAAGTCATGAGAGCAAGCTGATTAGTAGCACTCCTGCAGGATTCCTGCCTCTGCTTCTCCTTGTACATCTGTGGTGACTTCCCTCAATGATGGGCTGTGATCAAGACCTGAAAGCCAAATAAATGCTTTCTTTCCAAAGGTACTTTTGGCTATGTTGTTTATCACAGCTACAGAGAAGCAAACTAGGACAGTAAGTAAACCAAATCTGTCAATCTGGAAGACTTGAGGTAGATATATGCTAGAATTAATTATATCACTGATTAGATTATAATATGATTAGAAGTTGCAAATGGCACAAAATCTATTTACTACAAACTCCTTTGACTACAATGAGTTACCTCATAGTGTTCATGATTCAGTGTCTCCACAATGATGTTGTCATCTGTTTGGTCAATGTAAGTAACAGGAGAGTTCAGCTTCACTTTATCCCCAAGGAGGTCCATCATCTGTTCACTTACTTGGCCAGCTCCACCTACAAATTTCCGTTCCTATTGGAGAAGGTAAGCAGAAAAGTAAAGTTATAAAGGGAAAATGGTGGAACATTTGCCACCAATTGGTAAATCTCTTGAGCAGTACTAAATTATCAGAAGTTCTTTGCCCACGGTAACCTGCTATTCTCAGCATGGATATTGTTCAAGCATAATCCAAAAGGATAAATCCTTAATACAGCATATTTGGTTACAACATAGGAAATATTTTTAGCTTTTGTAGGAGATACTTTGAAAAATTAAAAATGCATGTCAGGAAACTGAGGAACAGGCCAGTGACAATTATGATACTTCACTTATGAGTAGTCATGCAGTAACTTTTGCAACTTGTGTTTAGTGAGGACATCAAAGTTCTTTATAAAACTGATCACAGAGTGGTTAGCATTTAAATTTATCACTTCTTTCTGAAGTTGAAATTATTTATCACTGAATCTGTTCTGTTTCCAAATAGTTGCTTTGAAATCTAGTATAGTAGAAAAATCATGGACTAATTCTATCTGTTCACTATCTTCTCTGTTTAGAATTTGTTAAATTGAATATAAAGGGGTAAATGTTAAGGTGTTTAAAGATTTGTGATAATGGCTTGAGATTCAAAATCTAAACTCTACTTTCTAAAAGATCACATAGGGCTTGTCTAGAAGTATTCTGTCCCTTACAAATAAACAATACAGATAACCCATGAGTGAAGATACTTCAGAAGGTTACAAGGAGTTAAAACGAGCAATATTAAACTTCTGTCCATAAGTGCATATTTTAAAAATGCAAATGTCCTATATCAATTTGGGGACTTCTGATGATCACCTGAAGAGAACAATAGTTTACTTTGAAGACAAAGTCTAAATTCACAAAATGCACTCAAGATTCTGGGACTCGGGTAACAGCATAAACTAGAATTTGTCTGCAACAAATTAACTAACCTTACCTACTCACGCATAACATTCCCAAATAAGAATCATTCTCTTTGGATAAGGGATAGCTTTGTAATGAATGTCAGAGTCTAAGGAATAGGGATTTAGGATTTTGGCTTTGCTGTTAGTTTATTACATATTTAGTCAATGAATTAAATGACTTCACTCATTAGTAATGGAAATGTATGGAAGCCCCCAAAATTGCAAGGGGACAGCTACATTTTAAAATCTAAACTACAGAACTTACTATAAAAAAGCATGGACACAAATCATTTGTGTGAATTAGAAGAGCAATTTCCATTCAACAGGATTTAACAAGAAAGAACACCTGTGAGAAACAGGTGGCATAAAGAAGCCTATGTAAAGAACAGAGATGATTTTAAGTACACTAATTTTATAAGCACTACAATATTCTTGAAAATTAACTTATTTTTAGTAGTTTTTCTGCTTCTTCATTTTCCTACATTTTAAAGGAAGGAATTTAATTGTCAAGATATAATAATTCAAATGAAACATTCACAGTAAAACATTAATTCAAAATGAAATATTCTTTAGCAAAGAGCTTTTCAGGAATAAAAAAGGAAATAAGAAATTTTTCTGACATGTTTTAAAATCATTTTATACTACCATACATGATTATATGCAATGGAGGAATTATCAAGGCATTGTTCTGGGCAAGTTAGTTTCAGAACTGACAAAGTATACCTGGCCTCCATTGGTGACTGAGAATATCCGAGTGGTGCCACCACACTGCTTCACATACCACAAGAACCATAGTGCAGATACTTCATGTGGCTCAGAAGTCACATTGATATTCACAAAAAGAGAAGCAAACTCCCGAGCAGTTCTGTTCACAGAATAAGAGTGGGAATCACATGTCAATGCATACAGGAAGAAGAGAACCAAGTCTTGAAAGTTATCATCTATCCTCCACATATGTGACACATACATACTGTGAAATGTATATACATACACCAGTTACAGATACATCAATAATAGCATAAGTAAAAATACATACAGAACTCAGAGGAATGCACCTTTACAAATAGTAATAGAACACGAATAGAAATTGTTTCTACTGTTTTGGGGGAAAAAAAACCAAACCCCAAAACCTCATTGTCTCGATGTCCATAGGAAAGCATTTGTTAACTTTTGAGAAAAAAAAATGTTCTCCTGCTATTAAGAAATATGCTTAGCCCACAAAATGGTTTATCTAAAGATTCAATATCCTTGATTAGGAACACTTCTCATCTATTTTAAAAGTTTTCCTCACTTTTCCATCTCTTCTGACTCCACTCTGGTCGATGCTACTGTAAAATCTCTTACATGGACAGAGAAAGTGGTGAGTTCCATATTATAACCTACCTCTAATACCTTCTTGCCATGCTAAACACAATGAGGACTTTAAAAACATAGTGGTGGTGGCAAGCTGGGTATGGTAATGGAGTTTAATCTCATCATGCAGTGGGCAGAGGAAAGAGGATAGCAAGTTAGAGACCATGCAGGCACACATAATGAAACTTTATTTCACAAAAGCAAAAACAAGCAAAAACTAAACTAAACTAAAAATACGGTTTAAAAACACAAAACAAAATTAAAATTTTCTTCACTGGCCTAAAATAGCGAAACCTTGCATGCATACAATACAATAGATGCATTATAGGCTGTTCAACCTATTACTACAATTACTCATCACACTACTTGGTCTATGTTCCAGGCATACTGAACATTCACTTGTTAAAATGTGCCTATTTTCTTCCCTTCACAAGCCATTTCCAAAAGCTACTCCTCATTTTCTCCCTAGAAAATTCTATTCCCTTATATCACTAACAGGTCTGAACCTGTCCCCTTCCTCTTGGTTATTCCTGGAAGGCATAATTCCTCAACACCATCTTCCTCATTCTCCTTTCTGTAAGAAATTCCTAACATCCCAACTACATCTGCTATTATCTCTCTCCTATTCTAACAATATGCCATTTCTGAATTATTATTATTATTATTATTATTATTATTATTATTTATGAATTATACTGGAAGTTAACATCTAACCCTATCTTTCTTTTCCTGACTCTCAAATGCTGCCATGGCTTATTTCTGGAAGATGTTACTATTCCCACATTATCTAACATAAAGCTTACCCCTAACCTTGGCCTATACCTAGAAGATAACACCTCACCCCTTTGGGCCCCCTAGAACATATTCTCCTACCACATTTATGCTCCTTTATTTCATCTTCACTATTGTGGTGCATTTTGTTTGTCATTGTCTTAGCATGTACATGTATAATGTGTATGTATGCGTGCGTGCGTGAGTGCGTGTGTGTGTGTGTGTGTGTGTGTGTGTGTGTGTGTGTGTGATCTTCATGCATGTGGCAGGTGGCAGAGGTTGAAGCCAAGTGTCTTCCTGGATTTCTCTCCACTTTATTTATTGAGGCACTATCTCTCAACTGAACCTGGAGATTGCCAATTTGGCTAGTCTAGCTGCACAGTTTGCCCATGGATCCCTTATTTTTGCCTCAGGAGCACCAAGATTACAGGCAAGCTGCCATGCCTGCCCATCTTTTATGTGACTCAAAACTCTGGTTCTTACACTTTATCAACTGAGCCATTACCCAGCTTTGGGGTCCACTACCTACACTTCTGATTTCCTCCAACTCCTGGGGATCATTCCTGGATTACCATCCTGCCACACTATGGCAGTGCTCCCTTCTCTTCCCTAACCCTGGTTCTTCCCTGGAAAGTTTCATATTTTTCCATGAGGATAATCTTTCCTAGTACTCCATGACCCTGACTGGCATCTTTTGAAAGATTCCATCCCTCTTCACAACTTTCAATCTTCCTGTCTTCCTTCTCACAATTCAATATTCCAATTGGTATCACAAGATACCAATATTCCAACACCATTCACCCATCCTTTCACCCCTAGTGTCTGTCACTCCTATAATATACCATTCTATTCCAGCATCTACTGTTACTGAATTTTTCATAACTCAGTGGCTCAAGTCCTAGAAAATACCATCCACTACAATTATGCTACTTTTTCTGTATTCCTATCATCCTTACCAGCCCCCTCCTAGAAAATATTCACACCTAAATGTTTATAATCCTGCCTCCCATGTATCGGTAGATCATTCTTGGAAGAGATCATCTACCACAATCAGTCTAACTCTGTTTCAACAGTATATACCTAGAATATACTATGTCATCCACAATCTGCTCTTCAATTGTCCTTTGTCCCTATGAATTATTCCTACAATTATACCATCATGATATACAATTTTTGCATCCATTCTCATTCCTACATCTATATGGGAATTCTTTTTTAAAAATTAGTTTTATTTTTATTTTTAAATATAGGGAATGGGGCAAGCACACCTGCCACATTTGTTAGGTGTCCTTGGAGACCAATTCAGAGGGTCAGATCCCCTGGTACTAGAGTTATTGGCAATTGTAAGCTGCCCAACAAGGGTGCTGGGATATGAACTCAGGATCCCTTGATAAGTAACACCAAAGTACTGTTTACCATTGAGCCATCTTTCTAGCCACTGGGATTGATTTTTTTTTTTTTTTTACAAAATGTGTTTACAAACTGCTTTTGTAGATACCCTCTATATAACATAAAAACATGGTTACTATTTTCTATTCAAAATATGACCCTTTTGTACAAAGCTGTTCTACTCTATGCACCTCCTTTCTTAAGTTTTTGATTCATTTTCTGGTCAAATCTGCTGACTAATAAGATTACTGTATTTCTTAACTCTTCCCACTAACTTGGTAAGAATAGCACTACTATTCAAAACAAGATACAGAGGATCAGAGGGAAAGATTTTTGAAATAAGATTTTAAGCAATCAAATATACTTTGTCCAGCAGATTTTATCAAAGAGATCTTTCATGGTCATTCTGTCCCATTCCTCAGCATGCGGTGCTTGCCATGGTGCATCAACAGGGATCTGCAATGAAAGGTCATATGCTCATGAGTGAAGGAAACTGCCACCACTGCTCTACTCTTCTCTTCAGAGAAGCCTTCATGCAAAACTCTAAAAACTTGTTTCAGCTGGGTGGTGTTGGCACACGCCTTTAATCCCAGCACTCGGGAGACAGAGGCAGGGGGGTGTCTGTGAGTTCGAGACCAGCCTTGTCTACAAGAGCTAGTTCCAGAAAGCCTCCAAAGCCACAGAGAAACCCTGCTCAAAAAAAAAAAAAACCAACTTGTTTCTTGGTGTCTACAATTGGCTGGGAAGTGCATAGAGAGACAAAATAAATCTGGAATTCATGCCTTAATGCTACTGTCAAACAATAGTAATAATAGTGATCATAACTACAGCATATATAAATTTACTTGTAATTGGGATAATGATGGTCATTATTAATATCAACATTATTATTGGACGATCACAACAATTTTAACTCCTCCCTCCACCAATGAACTTTGATGCAGAAAGTCCTTCTCTTATTTACTACATAATATAGCATTGTAGATACATCACTGTAAGTAGATATTTGGCAGAAATGTCATATATTGCCCAGAGGCATAGAAGTGAAGTCACACAGGCAGTATAAGCAAGAGTGGTTTTGAATTCTGGTTCCCTTGCTGAATTGTTTTGAGTAAATTATAAGAACACTTGATATTCATTTTCTCCATCTGTCAAGTGGAAACCCTTCCAACATTTGCAGAGTTGCTGATTACCCTAGAAAGGGTCTACATCAATGCAAATCAGCAATGTCCCTTGCACCTTACAAGGATATTAATTAGTTTCATTCATCAGCAATATGTTATGTGCAAATGAAACACACATATTACCTCTTTTCCCATTTCATCCATTGTCCTCCACAGGTTGTTATAATCCAAATAGGCCAAGGGATTCCACACAGGTGGAAATGCACCACGAAACGGGTAAGTTTTCCCCTGGAACATAAAAGTAAAGGAAATCAATTTGAAATGGATAATCCATAAGTTACATGGCATCCTAAAATCACAGGAACCAGGTTGACCTGGTGCAGGTCTGTAATCCCACAAGCTCAGGAAGTTGAGGCAGGAAGATTCCAAGTTGCTAGTCTGTGGAATTTAGTGAGATCCTGTGCTAAAAATAAGAAGGAAAAGGGGGCTGGGGATGTTATTCAATGGTAGAGTAATATATACATATATCCTGTGTTCTATCCCCCAAACTACACAAAATAAGGATATAAATTAAAAAATTATAACCAATTAATATAAATCATTTTTGTGCATATGTGTGCATGGGTGTATAAGAGAGACAGAGGAGGAGAGGAGGAAAGTGATGAAGAGAGGAGACATAAAGTATATGTTCCACAAGTGTGTGCCAGCAGACTTGACTGTGTGGATACACATGAAGATCTGGTGAACTCTGGGTTTCTTCTGTGATTTCTCTCCACCTTATTCACTTGAGACAGGGTCTGTTATTGACTTTGGAAATCACTAGTTTGAACAGAATGGTTTAGTTTCACCAAACCTCTAGGTTTTGTCTGCTTCTGCACCCCTAGCCTGGAATCATAGTTATATACCATTCTGTCTGGCTGTTTTTAACAAGGGTGGTCAGGGTCTGATCTTAGGTCCTCATGATTGTACAGAAAACATTGAGTCATCCTCCAACCCCAACCTAAAACATTTTCAAAGCAACAAGATACTCTACCACATTGATGTTAAGTGTATTTTCCCTAAATAAGCCTAATTTTAATAAGATTGCTAAAATTACTCCCAATGGTGTGTTAGCTGTTTTAAGTTTACAGGAAATTATAGCTTTGACTCATTTTTACTTATTAGGACAAATAAAGATATAAAGATAAAACTCATTTTAGTATAAATGTTGAAACCATAATATTCTTATCAAATCTCTGTGGAAAAGTAATCTTATGTAAGTGATAGCATGAATAGACACATACAAGTCACTTCTCAGCAAGTTTTAAAGGTTTTCACAGGATAAATGAAGACCAGCTAGACTACTGTGTCTGATGTAAAGAATCAGACTATTAGCAGTGTGGAACAGCAGGCATTTACCAGTTTGAGTTGTTCAACATCTTTTTTTCTTTTCTAGATGTACCCTGGTTTCCTTCTGGGAAACTGCCACTCCTCTTTGTAGTTATTATGTAAGGAGCAAGGTGCCTGATGCCATTAAAATTAATATAGGCTAGATTCCCCCCAACTTGTGATCTAGCCCAGCTATGAGCTTATGATCTGACTTTTGCTAATCATACACTGTTGGAAGATTTGACCCTGTAGTTAAGTCACCATAACTCAAGTACAGAAGAAAGTGGATTTTATTCCTTAAGACAGCATGCCAAACAGATGCTTCATGTTATAAAGATCATGATTCTTATCCCTAACTTGTCAGAGTTCTCCTGCTTTCTGTAGATTCTGAAGTGTGATTTTCCAGCCTCATAAATTCCCTATGTTAGCTCGAATAGGTTTGTGTAGCTTAGTACTAAGATTTCTAATGTCAAGACAGCTTGATATTTAGAAACCATTTACTTCACTTTATTGTGTGACACATACTATGCTAATTAAAAGCAAGTGCATATAGAGGGTAGACACTTAGATAAAAGAGAGAAAGACTGGGTCATTTATAAGATACTATCTGCAAATTTAACTCATTTTAGTGGTTCCTCGGGTTCTTCATCTGCAGATTCAGCCAACTGCAAATAAAACGCATTAAAAAATACTATCTATACTTAACATGCACAAACCCTTTTCTTGTCATTCCCTCAACAAAAAATTATAGCAATTATTTAAATAGCATTTACATATGCTATATATTATCTATATCTATATTATATATGCTATATATTATATATATGCTATATATTATATATGCTATATATTATTTAAATCTAGAGATGATTTAAAGTACACAGGAGAATATGAGTAAGATATAGGAAAATAACATTCCACTTTATTTAAGCACTTAAACATGCCCAGATCTTGGTTTTCATAGAAAGTACTGAAATGAATCATCTGCAAATACCAAGGGGCAATTATGATTAAAAATAAATGACCTCTCAATATTCATAAAGCACAAATGTTTTCTCCTAGTAAAACTTCTCATGAAAATTTGATTTTTTATTAATAAATATCTGTAGAAAGTCAACTGCGTGCATTGCATAGTATCAAAAGTTATGGCAAAATTTCAAAAAGGTACAACAAAAAATCCTGACTATCAGGGCAGAGGCACAAGGCATGACAGTATGTGCATACTCTCCCTACCCCCACAACTGAATAAGAAAACATGGCATCCATTAAATGACAAAGAAGCAAATTTCCTTTCCACTAGCAAATTCAAATAACCTTGGTTGATTATGTGATCTGATTTCTTATCAGAAAACGCTATGTTGAAATGCTGCAATACAACTTTTTGGGACTCCAAACCCTTTATCACTGTCATGGACATCATCAAACATTTATTGAACTTTCTTCATGCCTGGCAGTGGCTGAAACTCTTCATATGCGTTATCTCATGTAATACTCCAATCAGTTCTGTGGGGAGAAGGACTACTAATATTTCCATTTTATAAATAAGGAAACTAAAGCCTAGTGACAGCAGCTAGGAAATAGTATGAGGATAATTTCCTCCCCTAAAGGTTTTCTTCATAAAATGTGTTTTCCTCACTCCTATATGGTTGATGGAACACGGAGATAGGTTCGTTTTAGATGCATTTTAAACTTCCCCAATAAAATAAAGAGAACTCTCACATGTGAAAATTAACAAATCTTTTCCATGTACTGTTTCTGTTTCTAAAAAATAAAAACAAAGAAAGAAGCACAAGGGGTTTGATTGCCAAGGAAATGAGGCCATCTTTGGGAAAGGCTAATATATTTTCTGAAAGAAATGGACTGAAACATTTAAACAAAACAAAAATAACTCTGGAGAGAAGAGAGGCTGGACTTACTTGATAGTTTGGGAAGCCTTTAGAACAGCTGGTTCTTGTTATAATTCTTCCTGCTATAGTGGAAGCTTCACCCCAGCCCCTGGCATCCATATACCCAATGAATCTGGGATGGGATGGTGGAAGTTCCACCCAAGCTGCTTCCCCTATCTCCAAACCCTGTTACATCTCAGAAAGCCCACATTTAATGGATAAAAAGCTCCCGGATGGCCTTCCCACCCTCCCAGAGAGGAGATGGGAAAGAAAGACCAGAAAACCACAAGTCTATTTTCTGGGGGACAGTTTAAATACCCTATGGGAGTGGTCTTGAGCATCTCTGGGGGAGGGGTCATCATTTGGCGGGCTTTCTGAGATGCAGCAGGGTTTGGAGGGAGATAGAGGAGGACTTGGGTGGGACTTCCACTGTAACATCCCACACTCTTTGGGTATATAGATGCCAGAGGCTGGGGTAAAGCTTCCACCATAACATCCAAGACTCTTTGAAGCTTCCAGCAAAAGACTTCCCTAACTTGAAATCTCAAAAAAAATCTATATTTCCTCTATAAAATGACTTGGACTCAAACAAAAGTCATAAAACAAAACAGATATCTGCTTTGAAAACAAGTTTTTGAGATAGGGTCTCACTATGTAGTCTTGGCTGGCCTGGAAATCAACATGTAAAAAAGGAAAAAAAGGTACTTTAAAAATATTCTCATTAATCATTAAATAAAGCATTATAAATGCCATATTACTAATGAAATTCTCCTTATAGAAGAGCACCAACTTGAGTATGCTTACATAAAGTCCCTCAATCCAAGCCTTCATAAACACACAATGACCCAGAAAAGTTCAAAGGACAGGGTGAGGGGAGAATCTAGCCTGGTAATATCCTTAATAATAGAAATTACAGGTAGTTTTAAAGATGTAAACTTTTATCCTGCTGACAATGGTGCCAAGTGGTTTCCTCTTTATCAGTTTCTGGCTTTTCTGTTCTCATTTGCAGCACACAGATCCTGCATGGAACTGGCAACTTTAAGGCAACAGCTTCCTCCTTTCTCATGAACACCTAAAGGGCTTATTTATCAATGGCTGCTTCTAGATTACACAACTGGAGACTACTTTGACATGTGTAACACACTGGAAGAGGGCCTGGGAATGTCTCTTGGCTGAGGAAAACATGCAGAGGCTCTCTTGGTGTCCTAAAATGAGACTCCATAATTTCTCAGCAAGGTGTTAGCAGTTTCACAATCCAAAACAAATTCTCTTCAAGAAATGCCTTCATGACCTGAGAGTGAGGCAGGGGCTCTAAAATCCTACTTCCGAATAACTATTACTTTCTAAACATAAAAGGAAATAAAGAACCTTGAGTAGCAATTGTTCATGTTATGCCTATATTCTGAAACCATACTCTCTTTCCAAAATAGCCTTTAATCTCTGAAGGATTGACATGGCAGAAGTTATTTATATTGAGTAGAACACAATGTTCCTGGAATCATGTTCCCAAATATTTAAGTCCACTTGAGAATCACATCTTTACTCTATCACTGTTCATAATAATAGGAGGTTATTAGTAGGACATGATAGTTTATAGTTCTCATAAACCACAAGATATGCTGTTTATGCTAAGAAAGTAGCACTTACTGACTGGCACACTGAAAAGTTTCTCTTCTTTATATTTTCAAATTTTAGTTAAGTGAAAGGAAGTCAGAACAATCACAGTATTTTAAGAAACTGGGGTAGCTGCCAAATAGCTTTCTTTAATCATCTAGAAAATAGATACCTTCTAGATTGGTTTGAGAGCATGCCTTTACAACCCATATGAATACCCTGGGACTTGCCTGTGTCACTGTTTTCTAACAATGCCTAAAAGAGAAATCTTCCCTACAGTTCATAAGGCAGGGAATAAAGGAATCATCTAAAAAGAAACCCATTAATTCACAAAGCATCATTGTATTGTTTTAAAAGGGGTCAACACCATGTTGGGGAAACTCACAGAAATAGCTGACCTGAGAAAGTGGGAGCTCATGG